AGTCACCTTCAATTGTACTATTTCTATGTGTTCCTTTTGTTTCGGAATAGTGATGTATTTATTTTGTATAACTACTCTTAGAAAAGCTTATGATTTGTATCACAGGTTTTGGGAATTGTAATTTGTTCAGGATAATTTAATTTAAAGTTAGCAAAAATCCATATAATTACAGTAAATGTTAGGCTTACCTAGTTTAGAGACTAGGTGTCATCACGACTTCTTTGGAGGGATTTTTGGGTCATGACATTTCATATGAGTCAGCTTTCCCTCAACCATATCGGCACGTTTTCCCAGGTTCGATACTATCCCTCGGGCATCTTTAGGTTTGTAATCCACTCACAAATTTGTCGTCTTTGTTCCAAAGTGAATGTGTAGCTGGCCTTGGGCTTGGACACTTTACCATTGTTCCCAGACTTCAAATGTAATTCAGGTCGCCTGTAATATTCTTGTAAGTCTAGTCTAGCCTTTGGGTTATCTTTTGTCTTATTTTTATCATCCATCACTATATTGAACAAATTGTCAAAATAGTTCTTCTCAATATGCATGACATCAAGATTGTGTCGGAGAAGATTATCCTTCCAATATGGCAACTCCCAAAATATGCCATGTTTTGTCCAGTTGGGGCCTCGGTAACTTTCATGAAGTTCTGAACCCTCCCAAATTTCCTCACCGGAATAATTGGAGGTTGCAAATCATGTTCAACTGTATTCTTTTAGATGAAAATATTTTTCATCCTTCTGAACTCATGATCAACCGACAAGAACTAACGATGACAATCAAACCATGACTGTTTTCAGCCATGTCTTAAAGTGAACACTTTATGATTTTCCATGCAGTAAGGACATGCTAACTTTTCAGTAGTCATCCACCCAGACAACATTCCATACGCAGAAAAATCATTAGTGGTCCACATTAAGTTAACACGCAAGTTAAAATTTTTCTTAGTTGATATATCATATATCTCTACTCCATCATACCACAATTGTTTAAGCTCATCAATCAGAGGTTGCAAATATACATCAATCAAACTCTTTAGATTGCGGGGACCGGGAATAACACAATTTAAGAAAATATATGGACTAGTCATACACATTTCAGGCGGAAGTTTATACGGTGTAATAAAGAACAACCAACATGAATATGGTATTGCAGAAACAGAAAATGGCGTGAAACCATCAGCACACAAACACAACCGAACATTCCTCGGTTCACTAGCATAATCTGGATACGTCCTATCAAAATGCTTTCAATCTTCCCCATATTAAGGTTGACACATAACACTAGGCGGCCTTCTGTTTTCATAGTTCCATCTCATATGAGGAACGGAACTTAACGATGCGTACAATCTCTTTAATCTAGGAATCAGAGGTAAATAATGCATTGACTTCACAACAACCTTCTTCCCGCTGGAAAGCCGTTTAAAATGAGATTTTTCACAAAATTTACAACTTTCTAAATCTACATCACCCTTATAATACAACATGTAACCATCTTCACAACAATCGATTCTCATAGATGAGATTCCTAACTTAGAAACCAATCTTTTAGCCTTATAGAAATCTTCAGGTATGTTGAAAGCTGGGTCAACTAGTTCACTCATAAGGCCAATGAAAGAATCCCTTCTTGCTTGAGAAATATTGGTATCTGAGTTTATACTTAATAATCTAAACGCAACAGACAACTGAGAGTGCATGCTCCCTTGTCTTAGTGGACGACTGGCGGTCTCTAACTGTTCATAAAAATATTTTGCCTCTTCATTAGGAGGTTGTTCAACACTTTCATGGGTTTGAAAATCGAAGTGCATCCCTAAAGCATCCGCAACCATTTCATGGTATCTAGGATGTTGAACGCTATTCTCCACCGACCTACTACTTTCACCAACAACTACGTTATGAAATACAACATCAGTACCATCAATCTCTCCATGATTAGTCCACACAAAATGATTGTCCATAAACCTCTTTCTATAAAGATGAGTCGTAACATCCTCCGAACAAAAAAAAATGCAAACACTTGCACTTCGTAAAAGGACACTTAATCATCCCTCCAATTCAAGACAGTTCAAGTGACATTGCATGCCTAATAAATTCCTTAACCCCTTCTATAAATTCCTCCCTAAAAAACCGATGATAGGATAATTCCTATTATACATCCAACTACGATATTCCATCTACATAGAAGACAAATAAATTATATTAATCATAGTTCAAATTAATTTATAGAATTAAGGTACATCATAAATTATAATTTGTTATCACACTCATTAATCTATCATAATTAGTTAAGCCTAATTTTCTAAAAGCAATAAACACTAATAGAACAATATAATCCCCTAAATAAGTTACAATGTACTTATATTCTTTGATAGTGTAAACATTATAGCATCCATTTTTTTAAGAACTAGTTTATATAATTCATAATTTATACCTTAAATTACAAAATTATAGAATTAAGTTGCAGTGTACTAGTTTATACAATTCATAATTTATACCTTAAGTTACAAACCTAATGTAGTTAAAACCAAAAATCCAAAAAAATTATAATTTTAGGTAGTTCAATTCTAAATTTAAATCTAATGTAGCTCAAAAATCCTATTTAGTCACACAAATCCTAAATATACAAAAATCCTAAATAATTACATAAAATTATACTCCGAAAATTAATAATTAAAAATCTAATAATTAAGGTAGAATACTAACATTGAACAACTATATATATATATGCTAAGTGTATAGTATAAAAGCTATATAAAATGTATATCACCAAAGGATGTGGTGCAGTAGATGAGACTGCTCTTCCCTTAACCAGAGGTCTCGAGTTCGAGTCCTGGGTATGGAAAAATCATTGGTAGGGAGCGCTTCCCCCCGAATGGGGCGCTACGCGGCGCGAATCTGAATATGATCAGGCTCCAATGCGGGTGCCGGACACCGAGTGGAAAATCACAAAAAAAAATGTACATATAATATAATTACTGTAGGAAACAAAAATTGAATTTCATTATAACTAGAATCATGATAATTAATAGTCTTACTCAATTATCCAATACTCCTTATTATAGTCATCTTATCTTTATTAAGGTGTAATTTTTTTTAAAGGTTTAATTTGTGGTATGTAAACAAACTTTTGATTCTAGTGTGAGACTTTCATTGCAAAACATAGAGAATAAGTTGAATTCAAGAAAATTTGAACCAGCCCAAAAAAAGAGAGAATTTTTAGTTATAAGTATGCTTTGTTCATCGTAAGATAAGAATTATATAGGCGAAGTAATTGGAGTACACGCTTCTTTTTTAAAAATCAAATGCCACATGCTGGTGGAGTTAACTGGGCATATATTTTAAAAAAGTTAAAATTATAGATATTTGTGCATTGTAAATCATCTCATTAAGGGTAAAATAATAAGCTTATAATTAAATATTTTTAAATGCAAAATATGTCGTTTTTTTCTTTTTTTTGTAACGAACTAAAAAATATACAATATAAAATGGATCAGAGCAAGTATATTATTCTAAAACTATGAATGTGAAAAAGAAATTTAGATACAATCCAATTTTCATATTTACGTACTCAATATTACATACTCAAAATCTAGAAATAAGAACACTCTAACACGAGTATCCAAATTAAATATATACTATACTATATATATATATATACACTATATATATATGCTAAGTGTATAGTATATAAGCTATATAAAATGTATATCACCAAAGGATGTGGTGCAATAGATGAGACTGCTCTTCCTTAACCAGAGGTCTCGAGTTCGAGTCCTGGGTATGGAAAAATCTTTGGAAGGGAGCGCTTCCCCCCGAATGGGGTGCTATGCGGCGCGAATCCGGATATGGTCGGGCTCCAATACGGGTGCCGGACACCGAGTGGGAAATCACCAAAAAAAATGTACATATAATATAGTGTGTGTATGTATATATATATATCAAATAAGTATTAACTATTATTTATTTAAAAGATATTTATTATTTACACACACACACACAAAAATATTATTAATTTTAATTTTAATTATTTTAAAATCGTGTTTTCGACCGAACTCGGTCGTAAATATTTAATTATAAGCTATATTACATTTTTGTCTTGGACGGGAAATATTAATTTTAAACTTTCCGAACGTTTAGTCGGAAATTTGGAAAAAGTTTAATAAAAAATTATTTTTGTGCATTATATACAAGTTTGACCATGTGTGGGTCAAATATGTATCAATTTCTGACCGAAATCGGTCGGAATTTTTATTTTTTTGTTGCGGGATCATTAATTCCATTATCAAAAAATTTTTTGTTGACTTTTGCTACCAAATATAAATTTCCGACCGATTTCCGTAGGCTTTTTTTCCCGACTGATTTCACTCGGTAAGACTTGGACGAAAAATGACTGTTTTCTAGTAGTGTATTATCCTTTAGGTTAGCAGCATACAATCTTTATCTATATTTGTAAACTAAATCAATAGCAAGCATTAGGGGCTGTTGTGTTAGATTATCAAAGAACCGCTTTTAGTACCGTAAATAAGTTTGTATAGAGCCACAAAATCAAGTTTGTACTACTCTTTAGTATTTAATGATAAGAAATATAGGTTGGTTATGATAATATTTGTGAGCACCTAATTTTCGACTGAACCTAAGTTTTTACACTATTTTAACATTAAATATTCTTTTTAGGTTTAATCTTTATATTTTAGCTTTTATTTTATTTCTTCGTAGATTTTATTTGATAAATTGAAAAACCTCAAAACAGTCCTACTTCTAGATATTAGTTTTATTTTTCGATTACAAAAGAAGTAAATTTTAAAAAAAAATCATCTAGTCTAGTTTAGTTTCAAGTGAGAGGATTTAATAATAATTACATATTGAGTAATTAGTGTTTTGTCTTGCTCTTTTTAATTTAGGAGTAGTATTTATTTTGTCTATTTTTAAAAAGAAAAATACAAAAAGAAAGAACTAATCATAATTGGCCAGCTGTTTTTTCCCAAAAAACACCGCAAAACCAAACCTAAATTCCAGCAGGTTTTTTCATTAAAACCCAGCTCTAAACCAGCCCCCAAATACGATGAAACTCACAAGCTTCGATTGAGTTCGATGTGCGTTTCGTTAGCTCCTTTTCGAATTTGTCCCGGTTTTGATTGATACTTATCCAAATGTGAAGCTTTCTTGAGACTCTTGTTAAATTGAAAAGTGTCATCTTAAAAGTTAAAGGTCCATATCTAACCCCTTTTGTTTTTATTTAAGGAACTTGCATGTTTGTATGATTTTTTGTTAAGTTTTGATGGTGTGGTGACGTTATGATTCATGCTTAAAATTGTTGAGGTTCAATATTCTGTCTTAGTAAATGTTATGAGATCTGGCTGTTCAACTTAGCTTTATTTAGGCCATGTATTGTAGAGTAATTCAATCCAAGTCTTTGCCGCCTACAAGGTGTTTGAGTTTTTGCTCATTTGAGTTACGTCATTATTATGTTCAAATTCATTCTTTATTTTAGATTTTTTACCTTGTCCACTTTATCAAAATGTAATGCCTTTATTAGTACAAGTTATGAATTCAAACATGGTTACAGAGGATCTGCCTAGTAGACGATTTTGTGGCTATTATGAGTTAGATTATTGCTCAGCGTTTGAGAGTTTGAAGTATTCTTCAAATTGAAATTTGAGGTTGTGCATGTGGCAAAAGAGGAAAGAATAATAGGAGATAAATATTTTGCTTTGTTTGATTGGATTCATTGGGATTATTTAATGAACATGAATAGTTGAATCGTATGGAATTTTTCTTCAGAATGAAAGAGGATTTTCCTAGTGAGTTTTGATAAGTTTATGTTAATCTTCGAGGTTTGGATAGAGTAGAATACTAGATATAATCGTTAGATTGGTGTACTAGTTAGTTTTGATAATATGAATGGTATGTTGTAAACATCTCCAAATGTGAATAGCTTGTTAATACTCCAAATAGCTAAAATATTTTTGACTTCCCACAGCCCAATGTCCATAAACTTTTAGCCTTACAATAATCTCGAACTTAGAAAGAATAATCATAAACATCGCTAGCATGTTGTTAGGCGCGTATAATAATAAATCATCAAGTTATGAGTACGATTTTCGTGACATAACTGTGATACTTTATCCCAAATTCAAGTGCGCACTCGCGTGCCTTGATCCTTAACTTCAAATAAATAATAATGAATGTGTTGTAAATTATTGGTACGTTCGCGTGGCATGATTTGCAATACGTGCAAAGCAACAAGTGCACGACATCTTGACTTGTTCAAAATAAACTTCATGACTACTTAAAATACATGGTTAAAAGTTGTAATGCATAAAAGGCTCTAAGAATGTAATAATCCGGATAAAATAAGCCAAGTGTAAATTGTTAAGCGGTCGTGCTAAAACCACGGAACTCGGGAATGCCTTACACTTTCTCCCGGGTTAACAGAATTTCTTAGACTCAAGTTAGCATCCCAACTACAACACTTGTATGAGTCCAATTTATTTCTGTCATGTTAAGTAGGTATCTTCGTATGTTTTATTTATGTCCATATAAGTAATTAGCTGTCCGGTTTAGTTTCCGGTTCAAGTTTCAAAAGAACATCACTCCTTTCCTCTGTAACGCCGCCTGCTTCTGGCTTCTCTTTGAACGGCGAAATGTTGGGGGAAGGATGAGTGTAATGTTTAGAGGTAGAAGCATTTTGGTCCGTCTTTCACGGCGATCTACGCTCCTCCAGAAAAGAACACTTTGTGGCAACGACAAGCAAATCACCCTCGGCAACAATAACAACAGCAAGGTCAGTAGTAATAGTGCCGAGGAAGTTAACAACTCTGTTTCTTTAAGTCGTCACGATGCCTATAAACAGTTGGAGAACCTGGACTTTATGACTGCTGCCAAGATGCTTTTTACGGACCCGCCCAAGAAGACGAAATTCGGGTACTTTGCTTATTGATTTTGCTGTTGCATTTCTCATTGGCATTTTATCAAGCAGTTTGCTTCAGTTCTCTTCATTCCACTCGAATGCGTTTTAACCAAGCTTATGCTTTCATTTATGCTGTGGCATAATTCATCAGGTCAAAATGAAAGTTGTATAGATTTCAATGTGAACTATGTTGGAAAATTAGTTAAAACAGTATGATCTGGAAGCATGCTACAAGTGTCAAGTGGTATGTAAATGCTCATTGGACACTAGCTTTGAGATTCTGAATGCTGAATTTAACATGTCTTATCGGAAGTAGTAATGTTTTTTGAATTGCCTAGATATGAGGTATGTTGTAAAGTAAGATTGCATGGTTGGAGGGTTGTGATATGCTGCCACTGATTTTCACTAGTGAGTGATTCATTTTGACTCTAAGTAATTTCTGCACATTTCTGCTTTGCATAAGCTAAAATATATGAAGTAACATGGTCACTGAGGATTAAAACAGCCGAACCCAACTTGTTTGGGACTGGGACTTGTTGTTGTTGTATAAGCTAAAATATAAAGATGGCAGGCTCTTAAGTTGTTGCTAGTTTTTTTTTTATATAAATGTGGTTCTGAATACTCATATATTATTTTTGTTCAGTCCAAGCACTGCTAATCTACCTGCAGATTTTCTACCAAATTTGGACATGCATTTTCCATAGAGCAATTAGTATGCTGCGGTTTTAATCTCCTTGACAGCTAATAGATGTTTCCCGTTTTACCAGCTATATCTTAAAATTTAAATGTATTTTTTGTTTCCGCAGTTGCTAGTTTGTAGCGCATAACATATTTTGTTCAGGTATTATCACTTGAGATACAAGAACTTTGAATACCACATTCCTGCTATTTTATGTCCGGTTACACAATCTGGTCACATGCATAACTCATTTCACTTTTCTTATGCGCTTGAAATTAGAACATGCCTTCTATTCTTCAACCTTTCAGTTGCATCAACATGAAGTTTGTCATGGAATCTGTTGAACTCTGGATGTAAATATCTCTACTTATTGTTCTTATATGTTCTCTACCTCCTGTCGGGTTGTTATATTGAATTACAAGCGCACTTTTAACAAAATACCCTCCTTATTTTGTTGTTTGACATTTTTTCCCTCTTCTTTCATGATCAGGGTTGATTTTCATCTGGTACAATTCTTTTTTGCCTGCTTGCCTTCACTTGGTACCTCTATTCTCATGTTTATCAGATTTTAATTTGATGTTTGAAGTACTGTCTGAAATGCCATTTCCTGTACAGCTGTATATTTGGTGGCTCAGTATTCTCGCTATGAAATGAGAAGAATGGAAGCGGTAAACTTATCCTTCTTTTACTTCTTTATTTTTTTCCATCTAGAATGATACTTGCTAGTGGTAGATCTCCATTTATCAAGGTCACTTTTTGTTTACACTATGTGATTGTGGGATATCTTTTAAGATTCTTCATGGGATACTTGTGCCCACGGGTATAAGAGACTGCAAACTTCTCTAAATGGCTGATGAGGCATGTTTGGAAGAGTGAGTTTTTAGATGAAATGCATTTAATCACTTTTTAACATGTAACTGAATAAGAGACCGATGCAAATTCTTCTCCCGGATAATTTGAAATATAACACCAAAATGGCAAACAACGTGAACAGTGCTTTCAGATCCAAAACTGTGAGCATTGGCAATGCCTGTAGTGTAAAATGTGTTCTTTACTCACTTTTATGCTATCCAAAGTTATACTTATGCCCCCTTTTTTGTTTTTTTCCTTGATGGCATGAGATTGCTTTTCCTTTAAGAATTTATTTAATTTTAAAATACATTTAGTAGGAAAAGAGATATTTAGTCGATTTTAATCTAGTTACAGAACTTCTTTAAATATTTTTAGGAGTTCATTGATATTTGTCCCAGAAGAAGTAAAAGGGTCTGAACCAATTTTTCCAAAGCAAACTAAACAGCTCAAGCACTTACATTTTTTCTGAAAAAACAAAACCAGAATCTCTCAATACTAATTCAAAAACCAAACTGTTTTCTTATTTTTATTTTAAATTATTTTTATATAATCTTGGACTGAGATACGCTTAAATGGGGCGACGGACAGTGAGGATTCATATAGTGGATCCTGACTTGCCTGGCATTGAGGTGTTGGAGTAGTTTTAGTGTAGTAGTTGCTGTTGCCCTGGATATGGATAAATATTTTTTTGTTGCTACTGAGAATGGCAGATGAGATAGTGAGTTGGAAGATTAATATAGTCGGAAGGGAAATGAGTACTTTATGGGAAATACACCATTGTGTAAATTTTGGACATTTGGAATTGGAGGAATAAAAGAATGTTTTGTCACATAGAACGGGATTTGGGCAGTCTGAAGAGATTCTATTTCCCCTAATACTTTTAATATGAAGAGAAAATAGTATTTTGCATTGAAAGTTGGGCAAGAATGGTAGAAGAACGAGAATACTACATACACCATTATTGGTTGTAAATCTGATGAAGTCCTTTGATTAAAAAGAAAATAATGGAAAAGTAGTGCCTTTTAGTATAAACATAAGACTGTTTCTTGCAATTTTATAGTAGCGTTGGGACTGCTGTCATCAGAAACAGCCTCTCTACCTTCAAGGTAGGGGTAGGTCTGCGTAGGCACTACCTTCCCCAAACTCCACTTGTGGGATTATACGGGGTTTTTTGTTGTTGGGATTGCTGTCATCAATTTGTGAAAGCTAAAAGAAAGGGACAGAGATCTTCCGAAAGAGGTGAAAGAAAAGGCGGTAGTCTCATAAGATGGTGAAGAGCATAAATTCTCCTTACTACCTAGGACTGTGTAATGCAGAAATGCAGAAGAAGGTTTAAATGGTGTTCCTTTGCAAGTTAAATCAGTTTTAACTTCCCAGGAATTGGGGAAGTTGCATCCACATCTCTAGATATATACTCGTTTCAGCATAGTTCTTGCTGTGGTAAGTTATACTGTGCTGCTAGGTTTTTTGGAAGTTGAAGATTTACTTTGAGATGTGAAATGGATTGTTTTAGGAAACATTTGTGTTCTGTATGGGATTATTACATCAACTATGGATCTCATCTAAAATTTTACCATTTGAATAAAGTAATTAATAAATTGTCTAAAGAATAGATAATTAAACTAAAAGGCAGTCTTTTCAAATTTTCTTGACTCTCTCCAAAGTATCATATTTTATGAAGCTACTGAATATACTTTCTTTTGTCTAGTGAAATTCTGTCTATTATGCTATCTAAAAAACATGTTATAATGACTGTGTCATCTTAATTTTTTCCTCTAGGTGTACATCTTTTTTTTTTTGAAATTAAATTCGTTAATCGGAAAAGGTAGGAGCACTCTTCTGATAACATTACCTATGTGCCTCACTTGAAAGATCAAGCTTCTTTGCTTACGCATACTTCAATTGCTTTTTGCTAGTATTAGTTCTTAGTTGTCTATCTTGTTCAAAAAACTATCAGGAAGCCGAATTGAAAAAGAAAGCTGAAGAAGAAGCAAAAGCAAAAGAGCTGGAATTGATGGCTGAGGAGGAAAAACAAGCGACTGATCCACAGCTTTCTGAGGTGAAAGCAAGACTAGATAAGCTGGAGGAGACCATAAAAGAAATTGTGGTCGATTCCAAGAAACAATCAAGTGATGTTGCCGAAAGATCAGTCAGCAATGCTGTCAAGAAAGGACCTGGAACAACCGAGCCAGGAACTCCTGATGCTAAGGAAAAGACAACTCCCTCTAGTGATGGAAAAACTCAACCAAGAACATCTTTGCCTGATCAAAAGCAAATAAAAAATGAAGGTTCCTCCCCTGACGCGAAGAAATGAATTCCTTAGCATATATTATTTCGCATAGTCAAGCTTTTTGAAGAGTTCGAAGTGCATAGCTTTGCAGAACAGGGAAAAGCCACTGCTTTAAAGTGCTGTTGCTTCATTTTTCTCAAATCAATGTGAATTAGAAGACATTTGGAAGATGTAACATTTGCTAAGGATTATTGCTGCCATTTTAATGGAGGTTTTCATTAGCAGAAAAGCTTAGTTTTGGAGCATCAGACATTTGACAATATCATTGTTTTTTTAAGAATCTGGGTACACGGGAATGTATAATTACTACTATTTAGAAATAACAGTTAGATGAGACGAACACCAGGACGAACACTGGTAAAATGAAAATTACAAATATTTGTCATGGGCATTTCTGTATTTTACTCTTCGATTCAGCCCTTTCATTCTCTTCAATTTCCTGACACGTAGTTGGTCTTTAAATTTTGGTGGGGACACCTTTCTTTCATTTCCATTGTTCCTACATCCTTTTGCTGTCATTTTTAAGCATTTCTAATTTTGCTCTTGATGTTCCTGCTTTCCTTCTTCTTCTTCTCTGGATTTTCCCTATTTTTTTATTTTTTTTGCTGTTCTTTTTTCCTTTTGGCTCTTGGAAAACTTCGAGCTCCAGTCCACGGTTCTTTCTCTATATGTATTTTGGCTGTTGCATGTAAGTAACTTTTTTTATTTTAATGACAATTTGAGATTTTAATGTAAGATTTGAAATTGGGTTTTACGAATTCAATTTGACCAAATAACTGAAAGGCACATAGGGTTTTCTGGAGTGCAAGAGAAAACAGGTAAAGGCTCCAAAGAACCTGCTTCATAGTGATATGTGGCGGCTCAGATTAAGAGGTAAGCGCATATCTTTCTCCGTTTGTCTTTCAGTGTCAGATCTATATGTTTTGCTGAGTTGCTTCTCTCTATTGTCAGTTTGTCGGAGTTAAAAAGGTAGATTGTGGGGGTGCATGTGTATCGTCTTTTATAATCGAGTTTCCCATAGGTATCGTACTCCAGGAAAGAACAGAAAAGCCAGGTTTGGCATCAAAGGGTTCAATAGAAGTTCCAAGAGTGGTAGTTTTCCTCGGGTAACTACTGAAGTGATCATTTGGTGGTGCCTCATCTTTCTAGGTAAGGGATGAACTTCTCAATTCAGGGTAAATTTTAAGAATTTTTATGTGATTACTTTGGTGATGACTGGTAATTAGATAACATATCTTTCTCCTTCTTTGTTTTACTTGAATAGAATGGGAGAAGTTTTTTTGTTCTACTGCTTTTCCCTTCTTCTTTCTTACCAGTAATCTGTTTCGCCTTGCGCTTCTTGAGTTGTATTTGCATTTTTTTCGTCGTTGCTTTCATGATTCTACTGTATTTGTCGCTCTGTTGAGGTTTCTTTTTTGTTCTTTCTTTATTGCTACCCTTTGTTACTCATGGGAGTTTGATGGTCATTTGTTAGTAGTCCCCTTCGTTTGGGGGTTCTTTTGTTGTTTAATCCTGTCAATGTCTTTTTAATATTTGTTCCTCATTTTCAAGGATGTCATTGTCTAGCAGAATTGGATGTCACACTGATAGTAATTTTTGGGTTGTTCTTGTGGAGGAAATTCGCCTTGTGAATCCTTAGAGCCAAGTAAGTATACTTGAAATGTAGTAACTAGGCTTAAAACTATACTCTTTTCCTTTTTTGTTTCCAGAGAACAACTTGCAGCAGATTTGTCATTCTCCTTTTACGGATTTTCAGGATCGAATTCTTACTGTTGCTGAATATTGCTGTAAAAGAAATCCAGTTCTACTTATGATGAGTAATCCCTAAAGTATGCCAGCTGATCTTTTTCCAATGTTGCATAATTTTTGCATATTCTCTCATCTTTCATGGTTGGGACAAAGTTCATACGCATACTTATCTTCTAATATCTTGTGATAACCAATGTACTCAAATGCTTTTTATTTTGTGCTTTTAGTTTTACTACCATATTCCTACACAAATAACGCATATATGCACGAATGTGCAAATATTGTATAAATTGTTCATTCTTTTCCTTTAGGTACTGATTTTCCTGCTCTGCTTTGGTTAGTGATACATAAGACATCGCTGTTTTTACTTCTGTCATGGAGACTTTAGGACTGCAAATGTTTATGGAGTCAATGCAACATATGGTGTAAGTTAGTCAAATTTATTACATTGAGATGTATGTTCTATGTGTGGTTGAAACATTACATCATTTCTTACAATCCTTCCTCTTAATTTTTTACACTAATGAGTGTCTACTTGACCTTCTATAGGAGGAAGAGTTCAATTTTACATCTCTCTTGCTATTAGAATGTAATATGGGTATGCTGCAATTATGAAAACGGACCTAAGGGATAATAGTTCCTACACGATAGTGCTAATTTGGTGTCTCTTTGTGTTTATTCGTGAACAATTTTAGGATTTTCTCCTCATGGTATTATTTATATTATAAATCAAAGTTTATTGTCTTGGGATTTTTCTCAATCATTTCCATGTGAATCGAGTCCTATCTCTATTTGACCATGCATGTCTAAATCTGATCTGAAATCGGACAGAAATAATTTGGTTGAGTATTAGAGTTTTGATTTTGAACAATTAGTGAAAGTGTGCAATGAAGTTCAGATAGGACTTCTGTTTGTAATGTGCTCTTTTATCTTTTGGTATTATAAGAATGTTTTTAACTTCTATGTACTACATTAGTTGCATATTGGACTATATGTATGTTGCCATGGGAATAGGTGATGTGCGACATGCCTCAATTTTGTGGTAGGTTCTCTTTCATTGTTCAGAAATATCTAGATTAGTACGTGCTGAGCAAAATCCAACAGTGTGCAATTAAATACAGTATCAAACTATAAATATTCGTGTGTGTCTCTATTTGTGAGGCAATTCATTTCTATTCTCACTTCTTCTGATATGCTTCAAAACAAAGGGAGAGCTAACAAATTTACTTGGTAAGTATGGATAATGTGAATGGAAATATGGTTTCATCTGGATTACTACTCTTAAGTCTTAATTGCCACTAGATTCGTATAAAATCTAGATTAGTTTTAACTTTTCTCCACCTATGAAGGAATGCACCACATTGGTACCGCACTCATCTATAGTACGAAACAGACATATTTTTGATAGTTTTGACAGGATCTAGGTCCCCAAACAGTGAGCATCAAGTGTTTGTTAAAATGCTTGTTTATATGTCTCAACTGGACAACGTGCACAAATGACTAAAGAATCTAAAATTGAAAGAATCATCCTGATAAGTTGTAAAATCCTTCAACTCTATTAACTTTCTGCTAACTCTGTCCTACTACATGGTTTTTTATTTTGCAGTAAATTGAAGGCCGCTGAGACTGTCTTTAAATGAAGAATAAGGGGAAAAAACTCAAATTGTAACTGCCCCTGATTCCAATAGGGTAACATGTCACTCCCCCTAATCTTAATCAAGAATGTGAAAATAAAGACACTTCCTTGATCCCCATAAAGATGCATCTTAATCAAATCAAATAGGCTAACGAATACACCATTTGACAGCAAGGAAATGACCAGTCATATATTTTAGAGATCTCTCTCTTTCTAGCTAATTTTAGCGGGCTTGAAATTTCTTGGTGTACAAGAGGGACGACAATATGTAAAATTGGGTTAGTTTAACAATTGCTAATTCTGTTTGCACTAAGTTAAGTTCAACGAATATTAATTTTTTTTAGATAAATCTTGCTTTCGTACCTATTAATTGTATTCAAGTTCATATATAGCTTTTAATTTTTTTACTCCTAAGTGAATCTATCCTAACTTCAGGTGCGGCAATAGTTGGGAAACCTGTGAGGAGTACTTTGAGACTAAATATATTAAATTATTAGCCTTTGTCTTCAAGACAACTATAAATTGAACTAAAACCATCGATATCTTGTGTCTATTTGCACAAAGCAGATAATTTGTGAATGTTAAGTTTAGCAGAAGCCCTATTTTTTGTTCTCCCATTTGGCCTTTGTCAGTGAGAGTGTGGAACTTAAAAGTAAACATATGATTGTAGAGTTACCATTCTTAGTTGATATTGTAGTTGAGATATCCTCTTATTAAATAACTCTTTTGTAGTTTCTTTGAGTTGTTTCTCCTTTTGTTCAGTATATATCAATCATTTCGGTGAGGCACATGGCATTTTGAAGGAAAATAATAGTGGAAGTTTTCCCATTTTCTATTCTTCTATACCTTGTCATTGTACATTCATCAAGAGTCCACATTGTAAAGTGCCGATGAAGTTTTTGCCTTTAGCATCTAGTGGAAGTGGACATTATTGATATATAAAACTCTGAAATATATAGAGCTAATATATGTTTTATCTATAGTATCGGATGAGCGTTGATAAGCTAGTATTTTCAGCAGACCTTATTGAATGTATGGAAGTCCACAACTGCTGTCAAAGTTTTGCTATCTTGTGTAGAAGAGGATGTTTCGAAGAGGAGAGAAGATATTATTTTAACATTAGAAGCTATGAAGAGTATCTATTGTTTTTATTGTAAAGCTTCAGTCTTCCAAGTGAAGTAGTTGAAACTTCAAAACTTTTTCAGCAGAGAGGAAAAAGCGTAAATAATTGTCCGAAATCTACAAGCATTCTCTTCTTTACCTTTAATATTAGAAAGATGCATATGCCACTAATGTAAGATTTAATGTTTAGCATGGTGAATGAGAATTTTTTAAGTCATTCATACTTTTACGCCCATAGTGTAAGATTTATTTAGTGTTTAGCATGGTGAAATAAGGAATTTTTAAGTCATTGGCGTTTGTTGTTGTTTCTCTTTTAATCAACTTAATGATTTTGTGATTGTCCGATTACCTAACTTCTACTGTATTGTGTGATTTTTAGTTCTTTTCTTTTGGTATATATTCCCTTGCTTGTAAACATTAGGTCCTATATTGTTTACCGCTTAAGAGCGTGGAAGAAGTCATGGTGAGAGGTCTAAAATAAAATTTTTGAATTGATGTGACTGTTTTTTTAAAACATATTTGCCTTTGTTCTTGATATACAGTGACTTTGCTAGATTTCATATTGTTGAAGTTATTTTAGAAGGTAATAGAATGTAGGGAAATTTTCGTTCCTATACCATATAGGAAACTATATTACCAAATATGTTCACAGTTTGCATATTACCCTTCATGCTAATAGTATTTCTACAAAATATAGACTATGCATTAAATAAAGAATCATTGTAGTTGTAGGCTTCTTTATTTAGGCGCGCTAAAATTGGGGGATTAAATATTCTTCCAGATCTTCCAAATGCAAATCACGCACATTAATCTTCTTTGTCAGTTTCGTTTCAAATTTAGCGTCTCTACATCAAACGCAATTATTCTTCTACAATTTAAAAACGAATTGATTATTCTTCTACAATTCACAAATCAAAAACGACTAAATCTTCTACATCAAACGCAATTATATCCAAATTTCAGTAATACAAAGCAAAGGAAAAAAGAGCAGCAATTCCACCATTGACAGCCATTAAAAAACTTTGAAGCTTTGAATTCAAATTTGGGTTTTCAAAAATTATTATTTGTTTGGATGGGTGTTATTGCAAATAATTGGGAATATGGTTTGGAGTTTATATCTCAATTTTGAGGGGTTTTGGTGAAAATTAGACTTGGTTTTGGCTGAATTTTAGATTGAAACTCGAAGAAGAAGAAGATATGACATACATTATATTGCAGAAATTGCAGAAAAATTATAGAAAAATTGTATTCTGTTGTTTATTTATTTTTCTTTTATTCATTTAACTATTGTATGAAAGTTGAACGACATTGTATAAAAATTATATTTAAGTGGTATTATATTGTAGTTGTATATAACTTAGTAGAAATAATGTACAAAAATTGTAGATAATTTGTAGATAAGTTGTATAATATATAATTAGTTGTATGAAAATTATTTTTAGTATGTATAAATCAGATACAAAATATACAAAAGNTATTGTATGAAAGTTGAACAACATTGTATAAAAATTATATTTAAGTGGTATTATATTGTAGTTGTATATAACTTAGTAGAAATAATGTACGAAAATTGTAGATAATTTGTAGATAAGTTGTATAATATATAATTAGTTGTATGAAAATTATTTTTAGTATGTATAAATCAGATACAAAATATACAAAAGACATATTGTATAAATTTGTATGTAAGTTTTATGTTATTGTAGTTGTATTTCACTGGGTGGAAATAATGTGTGAAAGTTGTAGAAAATTGTAGATAAGTTGTATTCCTCTATAACGGGAGATGTTGGCATATCAAGTAACTTTAGTGTTCCAGACGAACATGCATGAAAATAAAGATAAATTCTGTTATGAACAGTTTGTAGAAATTTTGTAGATAATTTGTAGAAACATTGAAATTCTGTATTTTCATATTAATTTTTCAAATGATATGTAGTTTTGTTGTAGATTAAATGTAGAAAAAAAGTCATTGTGAGTCTTATTTGACTCATTCCTCACATTCAACCTATTCTACAAATTCACGCCTCTTTAAATACAATACAACCATACTTTCTTGAATTTAAAGGTATAGCAATATATATAACTTAAAAAACATCTTCTCCTCTGCACAAGTTAGCTCCAAAACAGACGAAGTGGAATAACAAGCTCTCATCAAAACTTTTAACACAAAAACACAAAGCTCAAATTTTATGTATTGTAGTTGTATTTAACTGGGTGAAAATAATGTGTGAAAGTTGTAGAAAATTGTAGATAAGTTGTATTTCTCTATAACGGAAGATGTTGGCATATCAAATAACTTTAGTGTTCTAGACGAACATGCACGAAAATAAAGACAAATTCTGTTATGAATAGTTTGTAGAAATTTTGTAGATAATTTGTAGAAACATTGAAATTCTGTATTTTCATATTAATTTTTCAAATGATATGTAGTTTTGTTTTAGATTAAATGTAGAAAACAAGCCATTGCGAGCCTTATTTGACTCCTTCCTCACAAATTCACGTCTTTTTAAATACAATACAACCATACTTTCTTGAATTTAAAGGTATAGCAATATATATAACTTAAAAAACCTCTTCTCCTCTGCACAAGTTAGCTCCAAAACAGACGAAGTGGAATAACAAGCTCTCATCAAAACTTTTAACACAAAAACACAAAAGCTCAATAATAAAGAAACAACAGTCTACAAATTTTTTACAATTTATCTACAATTGCTGCAATATAATGTATGTCATGTCTTCTTCTTCTTCTTCGAGTTTCAATCTGAAATTCAGCCAAAACCAAGTCTAATCTTCTCCAAAACCCCTCAAAATTGAGATATAAACTCCAAACCATATTCTCAATTATTTCCAACAACAACCAATCCAAATAAATAATGATTTTTGAAAACCCAAATTTGAATTCAAAACTTTAAAGCTTTTTAATGGTTGTCAATGGTGGNGTACCATAAATTTAGGAGTGATATAAGGTACAATTAATGTACAGTTAAAACACCTTATGGTATAAAATTGGTAATTAGGTATACTAAATGTAATTATATCAAACCTTAAACATTGAAGGTAATATAGTTTTCTATATGACATAAAAATGTAAAAATTCCTAGAATGTAAGAGCCGTAAGAATACTCTATTCATGTTGGGCCCGTGCTTTTGCACGGGCTACACCTTACTAGTTTCTATAATAGAAGGCACTTAAGCCATTTTTCTGCTATTCGTCCAAATTCGAACCAGGCGTCGTTTAAATATATTACAGATATGAGATACCTGAAAAAATGAGTATTTACTGTTACAATTCTTTCAGTTAATCTACGGCGTCCTTTCTTTTACAGCACTACCCAAGTGTCTCTTTCTTTCTTTAATAAGGACTACCTTAAGTACCTCGAGTCTGACTGAATTCACTGTTTACTTTTCTTAGTCGGTTTATATATAAATTATACATTGATTATACACGATTGCACACATTATATATGGATTATACATATATTATACATTCACCGACTATTTTTAATTTCAATTGTTGGGTGGGTGGCTATTTAGGTTAATTCTTCTTATCCATCATCCATCTAATCATGTATGCAAGTATAAAATCCCAACTAGTACATAGTTGAGAATTAATGTAAAAATAGCACGATATAGCCAGTTTTCGGACTGGTCATTCAAAAATAGCCAGTGTTTGCCAAGTCATTGAAAAATAGCCACTATTTTGCTGCAACAGAGACCGGTCCAGCATAGTATACTGGAGTTCGGTGCACATGTGCATGAACTTCCAGCATATTATATTGGATTGGTATACTTTGCTGGTTCCAGTATAATATACTGGAGACTGGAGCACCGGTGCTCCAAACTTCAGTATATATTATACTGGAGACTGGAGCACCGGTGCTCCAAACTCCAGTATATTATACTGGACAACTATACTTGCTGGACTCCAGTATAATATACTGGAGTTCCAGTATACTTTGCTGGAACTTCAAACTCTAGTATAATATGCTGGAGTTCCAGTATACTTTGCTGTAACTCCAGTATATTATACTGAAGTATTTTCCGAATTCTGAACAATGTTTTCGTTCAGATTTATCTTTACATGAAAAGTGACTAAATTTCGATGACTTTTGAAAATGTGATTATTTTTTAAAGACCACTTGTAAATATGGCTATTTTTTAATTTCTCCCACATAAAAATGAGGAATGGTTGAAAACTGTTATAAACCCTCCTTAAGCCCTTGGCTTTCCTTTGGGAACTAGCCTATTCATTCCATCGGCAATGGCTCGGCGAATAGTCAGACCCTTAGGAGGAATGGCCAAAAGGCTTTTGCTTCAGCAGCAACCCCGGCCAGTCATCTTTAATTTGAGTAGAAGTTACATATCGGAGATGCGCAAGGAAGCATTTGAAGGGAACATTCTGAGACTCCTTCGCTATGAGATTCGCTACGAGCTTGAGCGTTCTCCTCCCTCTCAGGTACCCTCTTTCTCATTCCTTGTTAGTTTTGGTCCCTTCCTTGTCGGAATATGTGGGAATTGGTTGCACTAAAGTTGGATTCGAAACAAGAGAATTATTGCTGGGCAGGGAAGTGCTAAAATATTTTCCAATTCTAATTGATTTTTTCACTCTTCTGAACTGCTGAGGTAGTGTACAAAATTTGGTGAATAAATGGATTGCCAATTGAGAAATTGCCAGTGCTGCTGCTACTACTACTACGCCTCAATCTCGAGCTATACATACATTAGGCTCAGGAAGAAAAGCTAGTAAACAAAATACGAGATTATTTGCTTATTTGTTAAAGTGGTGGCTGCAAACTAAGGTAATATATGATGGTGGTCTAGCGTAATAGTTTATTTTGTTTATTTCAGGTAGTCCCCTTGAGCAGGCAATTGAACCTTTATCAATTTATTAGGTTTAGCTGAGTTGAATAGACATAGGAGTTTCATATGATACCTTCTTAACCATGGAAAAAGATGAACCTTGTCAAGCCCCATTGTCACCCCCCCCCCCCCCCCCCCCCCCCGGGTGGTCAAAGATGTTGAGGATTCCATGTTAAAAGCACTGATCTGTTCCACACCATAGATAGGATAAGCCGATTCTCGAACCAAAACGAGAAACTTTTGTTTACTTTTGAAAAAATCACAAGGACAAGAAGATCTTAGATATTGCTTGTTAGCTAAATCATCATATGATCTGAAGTATCCAAGACTTTTAAATATTGGGTCACCTAATAGATGAGACATACATGTGTTCATTTAGCACAATTTCCTGTAATATAACACAGTTAGTGCTTTACATGATCAGATCTGAATGTTACTGCACCCAGATTTCTATTACAATCTACATATGTTACTGAATATACTTTGTGGTAATTAAACCCTGAAAATGCTAGAACAGGAGTTTGCAGTGCTATAGAGATGTGTACTCTTGGCTGATACATGAGATGTGGACTAGCTTTAACCAAGGGCGGAGCTAAGTTTAATTGAGGGGATTCAATTGAATCCCTTTCGTCGGGAAACTATACTGTGCAAATGGAGTAACAAAACTTTTTATACATATATTAATTGTTGAATCTCCATGACATAAGGGAAACTTGTAGTATTGTGTCAAATTCCCTGGTGTTGCATTCTAATTTTTTTTGGATTTCCATTGAAATTTCTGGCTCCACGATTGTCTTTAACAATAGCTATCTAATAATTTTGTTTATTTATTTATGCTCTGTTGTATGGATGCAACTCGTGGTATACTTATTCGTGTTGCATAAGGTAACTTATGGATTGTATTATTTAATTATTTTGACTAGTTGTTTACTTATTTGGTCAGATATTGAATAGCGTGATTCAGCAATGTCTCTAGTGCTAATCTTTTGCAATTACCGAACTGCAGCCTATTGCAGAATTTAATTCATTTATCATTGATGAAAGACCTGGAGAGCAATGGATTAAATTAAACAAGAAATTTGGAGAGAATGAAGAAATTAAAGTTGAAGTAACCATGTTTGATGCATCTGTTCCTGTTAAAAAAGGTAATGATGCATCTGTTGCTGATGATGTGCAACTTCACATAACCATGATTGTGAACGTTTTCAAAGGAGAAGGCAATGATGTGCTGGAGTTCGTTTGCTCTGCATGGCCGAACAACATTGAGATTCGTAAAGTTTACGTGCGTGGGCAAAATGGCAGAGTGGATCAGCCTTATGCAGGCCCTCCTTTTAAGTATGTATCTAAGATTTAATTACCTAATCTCCATCTGGCTTGCCAAAAATTCTTATTTGAGTTTTCTGTTGAACCTGCTTATGTGGTTGGTAAGAACTTCAGGAGTCGGAAATGTGTGAAACTGAACATTTTGAAATTTCCTCAACTCTTTTACTGCCATTTTTGAATCATTCTTGCATTGTTTAATAATGAATAATTAAATTTGAGAGTTTGTGAGCAGTCATTATTTAGTTTTGATCGGTTTTGTTTTGGTGATCTTACTCCTAATTGTTCATCTATATTTCTCTTTCTTTTTCCTTTTCCTGTGCTACTGATGTACTCCAATTGCTAGCAATTGCAGTTTGCCTGATAGTTTGATTGGTTTTCTTTTTTTAACTTGTGATTTGCAGGGAATTGGATGATGAACTGCAGGATTCTCTTTATGATTTCCTAGAGACAAGGGGAATAAATGATGAATTTTGTGTATTCTTACATCAATACATGGCGAACAAAGATAAACTTGAATTTATCCGCTGGATGGAAAAAGCCAAATCATTCATGGAGAAGAAATAGGGAGAGGGGTTGCATTTCTCCTGCCAATGTTGCGTTGTTGAGTTACTTTACATTATGGAGCATGCTCTGGGTGTCATAACTTGAGAGATACTATAATTGGAATGAGAAAGAGACACTTTTGTTTTAGCTCAATTGGAAGTCAGGCCATGCTGATTTGTTTGTCTTCAAGGTTTCGTTCTACATCAACCAAAATCAGCATTTACTAACAAGAAAGGAAATAACATTACTAATTAGGTGATGTATTGTATGAATTTGAAAATTAAGACCACATTCTTCAATTTACAAGGTTTTCTCTACATGGTTAGCAAAGTGTAGGTAGGGGCTTTGCCATGAAGCCAATGTGTTTGGGGTTATAGGTTTCTCCTTTTACTTGACCTCTCTGCCACACCACTTTTACTTGTTAAGTTTTCAGACTGCTATATGTTGACCTTCTACTCAAGATACTACTGATGCATAGAGAGTATCCAGTACGTCATAATTTTTAGTAGCAAATTGGTAAGTGTGGCCTACTTCAGTAGAAAGGTTCCTCTTTTGACTTCGGGAGGTTTCGTTTTAACCATGTCCTCTTATGGCTGTTGTTTCTTCCTGTTTCAGAAAACACTATCCAGTTTCTGTATTGCTGGTAAAGGTAAATTATATTTGGCTAGACCATCTTATTTTCTTTTGTCCCTTTCTTTTTCTTGTCATTTTCTAGTATTCTTGATTTCATGGTATAGACTGTTTCGCATTTTATGCTGCAGTTACTGCACATCTTCAATCATATCTTTTTTGATGCAGCATACATGCTTCCTTCAGCTTTCCTCCATCCGTTTGTAACTTAGTATAACCAAGATACCTTTAGCTTTTAATGGTGGTAGATGTCAGCATTAGCTGTAGATGCATTGGATATATTATAGAGTTATCTAATATCTAGTCAAATTTTCTTTCCTTTTTTTAGTTGGGAAGGTTAGGCTTGATACATTACACTTATCTGCATTTGACATTTGATGCTGGTTTAAGTGGACTCTTGCACTCCTGTTTGTATGCATGCTTGTGAGATGATGTATTAGGTATTTGCTATTTCTCAGACTAACTCAACTCTCTTTGTTTGGAGTTCTTATTGAAAAAGTACTCACTGTTATGTGCTATTTCTATATCTGGAGTCCCTTATCCATTTAGTAAGCTAATTAATGTTATCTGGGAGAATTTATGAAAGGTACAGCTTTATGTAGAAGTTGTCTTATTTTGCTTGAAGGTTAGTTTTTCATTGTAATTCATATAATTCTCACTGTTTAGCTGCATCCACTCACTATGATTGAGCCCAAGTATGATATATATTCATTGATTCAACAGACTTTTTGTATGGTCTAAGCTATATCCAGTAATGGGGAAGAGAGGATTGGTCGCCTAGATCAATTATTGCCCTGGTAATGTGCATGTTATTTCCTCGTAGTCTCAAGTTAATGGCCATCAATTTTCTACCACTACAAACACCTGTACTGTATGTTGAGTTTAATGGTTTAAAATGGTCAAACCCTCAAAAAAGTGGAAACTTTTATTGCCATTTGTAGTTTGACTGAAAACGTCTTTTTGTTGTGCTATATTAGTGGTTGAATTGATTTATTCAATGTTGTTGCTTTCCTTGTCTAAATGTTATCGTCATGGGTGGGAGTTGCTTTGTCAAGGGAAAGCAACATCTGAGACAACTAGTAGCATTGTATATCTCCTCTGGGTCATACCATATTGGCTGGTTTGTGCTGGCTACAACCAACTTATAGATCATTTAAGCATACAGATAAACTGGCAGTTTCTCCCTGAAAAGCACATGGAAAGGGAAAGTGGACATTTCCTTTTTCTTCAACAGTTTCTTAACCTACCAAACAGGGGAAAAAGCATTTTCAGTAAAAATGACGTAAGTCTAAGTTGCAGGTTGCTTGTCATTACTTCATGTCTTTTGATTATTTAGTACTACCTTTTCTTTTAATGACCTCTTAGCATTCGGTATATAGGTATCTTGTCCTCTTTATCCTTGAGTAAAGGTGGAAAGCAATTTCCTTCACCTCATAGTTAGCAAAGAATTACTGGCAAATTCCTTGTCAATTAATTTTACTGGAAATATGGGATGTAGAAAATGAGTGACTCGCGAATGAGTAAAGTACTTTTCACGTCACCGCCAAAAATAACAAAAACATGCAGTGTCCGACGTATTGCTTCGTTTTAGTGTGAAACTTATGCGTTATATGCTACCTCCGTTCCACTTTAAGTGATTTTTTGGTCATCTTTTTTTTTTGTGGTCCATAATATTTGATTTTTTCATAGATTTAGAAGGAATTAAACTTCTTTTTTCCAATGTTATCTTTGGAGTAAAGAGCCTAGGAGTAGTTTGTTATATTTCCAATGAACAAATTAAAGTTAATATGGTTAATTTCATTCTTAATTAATGCTAAAAGATGAATTTCATAATGTGTGTGAAAAGAGCCAAATTTTTTTTTACTTAAAGTGGATTGGAGTATAGAAAATTAGTTGAAGACTATTCTTTAATCTTTGGTTTTTTGTATAGATAACTCCTCTTGCAAGTGGCATTATCGGTAGTTAACAATAACTATTACCACTACTATACTACAGTCTTACAGAAGCAAATTGGGGTCAGTTATATGAATGCGTTTACTGTCTATGTTGTTCCATTTAGGCTCTAATGAATGCAGTTTCTTAAGAGACATCCTTAATTGAAGGTTCACAAAATAATACTCCTAGTAATATAATTGAAGGGTGGATATGATACAAAATCAGAAAGACAGTTTCTTGAAAATATCTATTCTAATCCATTCTAGCCGTAGAGAGTGAAAACTCACGTGTCCCTTCCTTTTAAAGGCCATTGTCATTTCAGTCTTCCGTTGTTTATTTGATAGCTGGAATGTCAAATACATATGGCTTTTTGCTTATGCTTTGGATCAAAGTAGCAAAATGAGATTAAGTGTGGTGGTTGAGGAGATGCTAAGTTGTACATATTGCTTTCATTAGCTGCTGAAAAAATGACAGGGAGAAAGTACCATCAATCAAGCAATGAAAATACATAGATTTGGCCCACGTTGTCCATTTTTAAGCTTTCAAACTATTTGTCGTTTTTCCTGCCATAAAAACACTAGAGAAACATATTTTCTTGACTTACTCTGATTATTTCAGTATGCCCACCAACCCTACACCTTTAATTTCGTTGGATTTCACGTACATAGACAATTTAGGATGTTCTCTTGCACGCGCCAAGTGTCTCTTCTTCAACATTAATCATGAACTATCTTTACATGCACATCATGCTTTGTAATTAATTAAGTGGAGGTCAGTTGTTCTTGCTTGTTGCTTTGAGTTGGATTTTACTTTGAGAAAATGACATGATTAAGTTTTAAATCCATCATAAAGTCTAATTTGGTCCCACCAAATTGTGGAGTGTTCCTGTTTAAAAGATTTCTTAGGTAAGAAATCAATGCAATCAAGATTTTACAGCATTAAAATATATGACGATAATGATGTGATTGAATAGCTTAAAAATGTTTTATTAGACTTGAAAAGATATCAAAGTGAGCGTGGACAAGAGTCATTACAGAAACTTATATACTTTCCACATGCTTTCACCAACTCAATGAGAAAGACCCCTCAATAGATAGTCTATTTCAGCAACTGTTCACTGCCCATTTTGGATAAAATCTCAGCCATAGAAAGTGCAAGATTATTTGTAGTAGTTGTTATTAATTCATTAACAGTACCGATTTTTGTCAGCATGTGACATTTTCGTCACGTTCAAGATCGATCTCATGATCTTACAGATATATAAAAAGGGTCCGGGAAGAGGTGTGATATATGACGCCTATATTAGTGATTTCACGGCTCAAACCCCGATACAATTTGACCGTTAGGCTCCCTTCATCAATTTCCAAGGCCAAATGTACAGTTAATTTGTTTGTATATATGGGTTGTGAAACATGCATTTCTTGTACTTGTAAACTTTGAACTCAATTATTTAATGTACCATTGAAGGCAAGATTTGAGCATGATCTTAAACCAAAATGTTGCAAATCACATCATAAGAATTAACTAGTCGTCTGCAGCTAGAGTACTACTGCAGCCGGCCGCATAAGAACATTTACAGTGGACCTAAATTAACCCGACCAGATATGCTACTAAGTACGAAACTTGAAAAAGAAAGTAAAATCTGAATAAAACAAAGGACGAAAAATTGTAAGAAAAAACCAACTTAAAACTCTACTACTAGGACTCCTAGAGTTTGAGAGACAAGTCAAGCTTCTTCAATTCTTCTTGATTATTACTCTTGGAAATATGAGGACCACCACCACTATCCCATCTGTATGCTGAAATACCATCAACCACAGTAGGAAACTTTTGAATATTGTTATCAAACCTAGCCGCACCACCACCTGACGATGTTCCACCGTTGTAAGTATTATTGCTATAACAATCTGGCGGAGCAAGTCGACCAATAGCCGGTTGCTGATCAATAGGCCGTCGAATTGACCAACCTGGATGTCCGTACAAGGGTGCACCAAATGGGCTACTGGACTTGTGAATCATAGAGTGAACTTGAATTCCAAGAGACCTATTGAATGAGCCATGCAATGGAAGTGAAGCCATACTTGAATATTTGTCATAACCAAAATTAGCAGCTGCTGAATTAATCTTTTGACCTCTTTTGGCCATTGTTCTCTCTCGTTTATGTGCGTTTTGATGGCCGCCAAGTGCTTGAGAACTGTAAAATTTTCTTTGACAATAGTTGCAAGAAAATACCCGTGGCTCAGTTTCGTTGTTATTATTACCTCGAGAATTAGGATCCGATGATGAACTTGTCTGAATATTTGACTTGAACAAGTGGTCTGTATTACATAGGCTTAGATCTAAAATAAGATCATTGTTTTCTTGTTCATCTGTTCTTTGATTTTGTGGCACTTCTTCTGTTGTTTGACTTTCCATTTTCTGCTCGGACTGCAACTTATTTTGGAAATTGGAGAGGACAGTAGTTGGGGACAGAAATGGTGCTTCAACTTTGAGAGAAGTACATGAATTATCTGATGTGGGAAACTTCATATGAATCAATAAGGTAAAGAGAAAGTGGGACTAGGACTTGCACTTTGTGCGTGATGATGAATGATGAAATATTATTTTGTGTTTAATAGTTATAGCAAGAAAAGAAGTAGTAGTAAATGTTTATTGATTGAGAATTTAATGCTATGGTACTATGTAAGGAAGGAGGCATTACAGTTACAATAGCTTATTATAGTATAATAAAAAAGATACTCCAATGGGAATTTTAGTAATAATAATAATAATACAGATATCTATATATAGAGAGAGATATGCATGTGTTATTTTGATGGAAACTAGATGTGCTCATGGTTCGGTTTGGATCGGTTTTTTCCCTAAAAAGAAACCAAACCAACTAAGTCGGTTTCTTAAAACTAAACCAATTAAGTCGTTTTTTTCTTGATTCGGTTTATGTCGCTTTTTCGATTATTTGTCGGTTTTTTCTTAAATATAAGACACACTACCAAACACACATTTCGGCGACCACATTTTCAACGTAACACTATCAAATCAATTGCCCTTTGAGAAATCTATTATTTACCAAGATATATTGATGATATTGAATCAAATAGTGATGAATAATTTAAGGACTCAATTAAAAATATATTATTTTTAACATGAAATAGATTCTTACACTTAACAAAAGAAAACTACCAATTAAACTAAAATATAAAGGTAAAGAACTGTACGAAAAGTGCAAACGACTATTATTTACTATAAAAAATTTAAAACTTTGTATAAAAGTATACATATATATAGGTGTAATAATAAATTTAAAATAGGTACTCCTATATTCGGTTTGATCCGTGTTTTTTTAATTGAAACCAAAACCAAACCAAATTTGATCAGTTTTTGAATTTCAAAATCAAAATCAAACCAAACTAAAAAGTATCGATTTTTTTGGTCTGTTTGGTTTGGTTTTCGTTTTGGTTCGGATTTTCGAATTTTTACCAAGATCCGTGATTGAAACTAATGAAGAAAACAGCGTGTCTCAACCTCTTCTCCTAGCATATATACCCCATTCAATGTTTCTTCTACTTTTTACTTGTCTGTCTATTCCCACGTTTCCTGCCTTTTTTGGCCACCATCTATATTATATTCTTGTCTTTTTTTTCCCATTTTTGGAATTTTCTTATGCTTCTGTTCTTCTCACCAATTTATTGCTTCTCAGTTTTAAAAATTATTCCGGAGTAGTAAATTAAATGTGCAATGAGCAAACCATAAAAAAGTGAATGGTGGATGGGGGATAAATATTTACCCCTTCCGGTATTTGCATCAAATTATACTAATTTACCATAGGTAAAAAATAATTTTAAATTGAGGCAAGAATGTGCATTAATGTATGATTTAATATAACAGTGTATGTTGAGACATAGAGAAGTTTTACCGGAGAGGGTTGGTGTTTAACTGTTAATAGATCAGGAAATTAAAGGTGAAAATCCTTTCATTTATTTTTGACAGAATGAAATTCAGTATTTATTACTCCAATTTTGAGTATACTTCTCCTTAGACATCAAGTATTATATACAGTCCACTTCAGAGTTGTATTATAGGCATTGATTATATATTTATATTTTTCAGAGCCAGCCATTTGTTAAAGGATATGCTTTAATGAATCAACATATATCACGCATATTTTTCACATCAGTTACATATATTCCTAATTCAAAGATTCAAATTAAACTTTTTGGCCTTTTTCAAACTTTTTCAAAATAATTAATAGTGAACGGTAATACTACTTAATCTTTATTATTGTGAAAAAAACACTGAGTACGTAGTATTCAAGAACAGCTCCAAACGGGGTAGTGCTGTTACTCCATTACATTAATTATCATATATGATTTCGACAACAAACTAAAGAATGCCCATATTTTTGCAATTAGTACTTTATTTTTCTGAGAATGGAAGGGAAACAAAAACATAAGTAACCATAAGCTCATTTTTCGAGAACACTAGCTAGTTAACTTTTTCTAACTATTTTTCTAACTACAACAACAATAACAATGACCAAGTGAAATTCCACGAGTGGGGTTTGGGAAGAGAAGTGTGTACGCCGATCTTACCTCTACCCCGAGAGGGTAGAAAGACTGTTTTTGATAGACCCTCGGCTCAAAAAGACGAAAAGACGACGAAAAGAAATAATAGAACAATACCATTAATAAAAATCATAAAAAACATAACGGCATCGCAAGAATAAGAAAATAAATAAAAAGCACTAAGTTAACTTTTTCTAACTGAGAACCACAAATATTTGTTCCTCCAAAAGGGCATTCTTATTTCAAGTAGTCAATATATCTGTGCTAATTTACTCTCTGGAGGGAAATATTACTAATTTGTAAAATATTAGTCAAAATCAAGAAAGGAAACAGGTACTAGTAATTAAGATGTGCCAGGGCCTTGTGATTAGTTGACTATATAACCTTTTTTATGACATAAAGTGTGAATTACGTAGCATCACTGGCAGTATCTTATAGTAATCAATAATGAGAAAGCAGTGGACCAAACTTTTTCCAAGTAAAACAAAGAAGCAACGCATGGAGTTTGGCCACTTTATTAATTTAGACAAAAGAGACCTACATTTGCAAGTGAAGCTGCTTTCATCAATGCAAACAGATAATTGTTCATCAAATTCCATTATTCAAAAAGAGTAGTTTCAGATATTAAACAAACAAACACAAGTATTGTTGTTCTAATTTTAATTATGAATACTAATAAACAATGTACCATTATGGCCTATGTTGTTTGAATCTTATTAAAAGTACTCCTACTGCTACAAGTACGAGTGATAAACGGGCGGGTCGGGTCGAATATGAGCGGGAAAATAGGTAATACAAAAAACAGGTGAATTATCCGACCAAACTCATATTTAATAAGGATAAAAGGGGGTTAACCGACGGATAATATGAATATGACTTCTTGAATATGATCACTTTTGGGAGAACTCCTAGTCTCCCAAACTTGATGAACCCCTAATTTGAGGCTTTACAAATGTAAGAGTTATACTCATTAGTTATCCATTTTCTAAATAGATAACATGGTTTTTATCCATATTTGACCTGTTTTTAAAATGTTCACTATCCAACCCATTTTTTAATTAATAATATGGGTGGATAATTATTTTATTTTAACCATTTTGCCGCATTGGTGTATTTCATATTTCAGACATACGATGATACAAATATCTGAATTTGGATAACATTTATGCAACATAAGGAATATTCATGGTTGTCACAACTTTATCTAATGGAAAGTTATATTCCATGTACCTCTCTGGGGAAAGAAAATAAAAAAAGGAAATGGATGTACATCCTTTTCAAATGTTACCAAAAGAAGCTAATACCCAAAAGTTATTTATTTGATTGATCAAAAGATGAAAGTAAATTGATTCTAATTAATATTTCCAACTCCTCTAGATGTAGAAATTAAAAAAAGATACAAAATGAAGAATAGTGCCACACCTTTTAACTCCTTTAGATATAGAAATTAAAAAAGATACAAAATGAAGAATAGTTCCACACCTTTTAAATATAAGGGTGTGCATTCGAATCGGTTTATCGATAAATCGAATCGATTATTTGTTATCGGTTTATCGATATCGGTTTATCGATTTATCGATTTCGATTTCGAAATTTTTCTTATCGAGTTATCGATTTTGATTTCGATTTCGATTTTGTCCTCTTCGGTTATCGGTTTATCGATAAACCGATAAGATATATTAAAAAGATAACTTTTATACCGATAAGGGGGAATGATTTTATACCCTTGGAGAGTTGGTGGCATACATTTGATCCCTTACTTTAGTTTCGTTGCATGTGTTTGTTGACACAATTTTTATGTTATAAATGGTGTTCGTCTTATTTTAGCTTCTTTTTGACCATATTAGTTAGGCGTGTTTATAGCGATATACCTTCCGTGGAATCCCGCAAATTTTCTTATTGGTGCAATCGATAACCGAATCGAGAAATCGAAAAAATCGATAAATTGAAATCGAAAAAATCAAAACCTTATTGAAACAATAACGATAAGCATATGTACAAATCGATAATCAATAAGGATCAAAATCGAATCGATAAATCGAATGCACCCCGTCTAGAGAAAAAGTAGTATTACAGCGTGATAAGTCATCTCCTTTTCTCCTTGCTCGTAGTTGGTGGTTGCTCCAATTTTAAGAAGGATCTTTGAGCACAATTTATATTTTTACACTATCATTATAATTTAAAATCCGATAGTATATTAGTTACCTAGTTTTATCATGTACTAACTAATTAATCTTTATTATAAATATTTACTTTTAATTATCTTGTATATAACCTGTTTGTGTACCATAAAACTTTAATCAAGAACACTAGTGCCATTTGAGCTCTTTTACGACACCTTCATTCACCTTAATGCAAGTACTCTTTTTTTTTTTGGAAACTTTCAGGAAAACCTGCAATCGCTATAGTCTTTGTCTTTCGGGTGAGCACTCTATGCATACTGCATAAATTTCCCACTATGTAACAACCTGCAAACCGTACAAGGAATGTAAACCGCACTAGGCAAACCTTGTGCGACAGACTCAACCTAAAAAGCATTGAAGGAGGATCAATCCCAAATCATCTGTATGAATGACCACCCTCCAAACTAACTGGGCATCTCCAAAGGGATAATGCAAGTACTCTTACTATTTGCTTTCATTGGTGTTTGACATATAGATAACTATGTGCATATTAAAGATTGATAAGTAGATATGAAATTATGATTGATTTAGTATTTGTTAGGTATTACTCCACAACTGAAATGACATCAAATGGGATTGTGAAGCTTAGGAATCTATTCACAGTACGGTTGTCAATGTCTAAACATCTTTTTCTTAGGACTCTTTTTAAGATAATTATTATTATTGCTTTGTATTTTAGTATTCAGCTAAAAATTATTTACCCCCCTCGTGTCATACTTATACACGCAACTATCTATATTATTTATTAAAGTAAGAAAATTATCATATATAATTGATATTATGG